CGTGGGGGGGGGGGGCCCCGCTCCTGCCATGTCTGTGCGGTGGTGGTGGGGGGACTGGGGAGTGGCGGAGGCCTGCTCTGATGGCCGGGGCTGCTATGTGGAAGAAGTTCTGGGGCCGGTTCTGGCGGCTGGGGCAGGAAATGGGACTTGCCTCATGGTGTGTGTGTAGGGGGGAGAGGGGGGGTTTGCTCTGCCCCAGGCTTCCTGGAATCAGCCGCTGATCAGTTTCAGCAGCAGCTGACTTGGGGACGCCTGGGTTTCTTAAGTTGAATCTGTATGTAAGTCAGAACTGGCATCCAGATTCAGCCACGGTTGAAACTGATCAGTTTCAGCAGCGGCTGACGCCAGTTCCGACTTACATACAGATTCAACTTAAGAACAAACCTACAGTCCCTATCTTGTACGTAACCCGGAGACTGCCTGTACCTCCAGGCTTTTCCATTAGGTATAACAGCATTGCCTGGTTGTTTAATTAAAAGCAGTGGCAGACTTTGAGGTGCCTGCTGGGAGTCCATAAAGCTGACCAGAATTCTTACCTTAATCAGACACACACACGAGCACGTCACACCACTGAGGGGAGGGACTGTTTGGCTCCAAAGAGCAGTCGCAGATGCACACGATGTCCAATTCCCAGTTTGTACTCTGCACTTCACAAACATCAGTTGCAATGTCTCTTTCACTTATTACTATGCAGCAGCTGAGAAATGCACACCATTTTGTGCTGTCACTGATATCTGGTTTATTTCCTGTAGATCAGCATCATTCTGGGTCACGCACAAACTCCAACTGTTGGAGTCAGAAGTATCAGTGTTCTAAAGGATGACTGTCAAATTGGTTCTGTGCCATTGAGAAAAGGAGATTTTTCTTTCTTTCCTATTACCTCCAGTGACCAGTGGCTGCCCTTAAACTTGATATTTTACTCTCTTTATGTAGTCTCCATAACTACAGTATTTGGCTTGCTGCATTCTTTGGGCAGTAAATTCCCCAGACTGACAACTGACTGTGTGAGGAACAGGTTTTTTAGCCTGTTCTCATTTAGTTGCTGCTGATTCGAGTGACTTTTTTTTAGAGGCTGAGGGGACTGCTCCACTTTTACTACCCCATTTACAATCTGGAGTGTGTCCCTTCAGTCCTCTCTGTTTCTTTTCACACGGAGTATTTTGGGCTGGCTGTAGTCACTCTCCGTGTTTTCATAATATTAACCCAAACCATGGACTACACTGAAAATAGCAGCTTGTTTGTTTTCACTCTCCTTAACATAGACAAATTGGGACATCTTGTGTTAGCATCTGCTCCTGGGAGAGTGAAATGTATTTATATATAAAATATATTGCACAAATTGCTACTTTGGTGTGATCTCACTAATATGATAGGGTGTACGTGTGTGGGTTTCTGGTAAAGTTTCAAATTGGCAGATTGTTGCAAAGAGGAGGCAGAAATCAGCTCTGCTTTCAGATGGCTCATGGAAACTTACTTTCTTGAACTAATTAAAGGAAAAATCGAGTCCTGGAAGTGAATGGGAGCAAAGAGATCCTTAGGTGAAGATAACAGTGCCTGTTTTACCTCTCATAATCCTTTTATTGTGGCAGCAATAAATTTGACTTTGCAACATAGGACTGAGAGTTGTTTTTTAGTAAAAATTTCTGTCTGATTTCCATGTCAGGTTTAAGCAGAAAACACTTCCCTTTCTTAGCATCTCTTTTTGGGTTCATGTTGTTCTATGGAATACCTGCTGCATGAGATGAAGGCAAATAAATTTGTTAAACAGTGGTGTTTGGAGCCTGGAGGGAGAAGAAATGCACTTAAATAATCTGAACATGTTCCCTTGATTTGGGGGAAGGGGTGAATTTTTTGTTTCATTTTGCTAATTCGTGCTGATCAGAGATTTTTTTGTGGCTGTTGTTTTATACTCCTAATCTAATGCTGAGTGTTGTTTTAATTGTGCATTGAAAAAATATACTAGACTAGATTTTCTTAAAATTTAGAAATGTAGAATGTCACCTGATGATGGATACTGAAATGTGGTGATGACAAAGTGTAGAACAGGTACCTAGATACATTGTGCTGCTGCATTAACAGTTTTACCTGCTCTATTGTAAACACTTCTGTTTTCAGTGTTTTGTAGCTTGCTAGAAGTATGGCTTTGAAATGAAACTGGGTATTTACAATAAACCTGAGCTATAGACAAAATAAAATGTTGAATATTCCCGCATTTTGTTTGTTCCCTAATCTCCTGTGGCTTCTGTGTTTTATTTAAATGTTCTTCTTAAATGTGACATTGTCTCCACAGAGCACTGCTGTGGGCTTCATAATCCTAGGGAGGCAGCATTGAACTTCTGGAATAACAGCTGTCAGCTGGCACACGTGTGGCTCTCACGTTCTACATTCCACAGCTTGAGGCTATAATATTCTAGCCCTAACTTGTTTCTCGATGCCACCCCGTGCTATCTCAGAAGTAGCTTGGCCTGGAGATCTGCTATATTCAGCAAATAGTTCCAGAACAGTGATAGAAATGTAGCCATGTTAGTCTGGTGTAGCTGAAACAAAAGACAGGACTATGTAACACTTTAAAGACTAACAAGATGGTTTATTAGATGATGAGCTTTCGTGGGCCAGACCCACTTCCTCAGATCAAATAGTATTTGATCTGAGGAAGTGGGTCTGGCCCACGAAAGCTCATCATCTAATAAACCATCTTGTTAGTCTTCAAAGTGCTACATAGTCCTATATTTTAGTTCCAGAACTGTTTGTGTAGATTTAGTCAAAGGGAATTCAGCTTTGGCTTTTATGTTTTGACCAGGTTGATAACTTTTAGTCTGATTTGGGCTTTGCCCAGGCTTCGAGATGGTGAAGAGGATGAGGTTATGCTCTCACCAAATAAATCCATACAATATGTACCCATCAGGGGTTTCTCTTGTATCTTCTGCTAAGACTTGCATTATACAGGCCACATCTTCATTTTAGTGGCCCAAAATATTTCACCACCAGGGCTAACTTGATAAAGGGAAGTATTCTGAAAAACATCGCTGTTATTATCTACAATAGTTAGTGCTTGTTATGTTTTTGACCATCATTTTCTTTTTGCTTCCAGCTCCGATCGGCTGATAGAAGAAACAATAAGGTAGGCGTGGAGTTTCTAATTTTGTATTCTCTTTCACAGGGTCAGTAGTAGCTTTACTTTGAACAGCTTCCCATCAGTCATTTTATGTACAAAACATCCATCTTGAGCCTCTTGTGCAGTGGATTGCAAACAAAATTAGAGCAGTTAGTTTCCATCCATGAGCAATGCAGCGCTGTCATTACAGTGTTTTGCCCATTTTAATTTACCAGTTTAAACTTGTATCTGTGAAGACAGATGTATGTTCAGGCAGTAATTATTAAGATGCGGTATACCATTTAGTGTAACAGTGCTCAGGCCGGCTAGCAGATTAAGAACTATTCTGAGAATCTGAAGCACCTTCTTCCCATAAAGGAATTAGTGCTTCTGTAACCCTTAACCACATTCGCTACCCTAGCATTGCAGTCCACCTAGGAGAGGAGGTTTTTCCAGACACACCTGCATGGTTATTACTGTTGTGTGTTTGTGTGTGTGTTTGGTCAGTGATTTATTTATTTCTGTTTGTGTGTTTGAAATCCTACCATTTTGCACTGGACTGGAAATTTGTCAGATTTCTGAAGCACCCTATGCCAGAATTATAAATTATTTTTGTCTTGCATGCCTTTTCCAGTTTGCCCGCTATCACTGGGATTTTGCACAAAAATAATTAAGAGTTCTTGCAATAAGTCATAAGTTTTAGATGGTCTCTCATAAAAAACATTCAAGAAGATTTTCTTTCAAATAATACATGTGATGGGATAGGCAATCAACAGTGCTGCTAAGAGGGGGCGGCAGGATTCGAAGTGTATCCATTAAGGGCTGGCTGGCTAGCTAGCTGAAGTACAGTGAGCTCAATACAATTAGTGTTGCGATGAAACGGGTTGAAACACAGTAATGTATCAGGAGGTGTATCAAGCTAACAGAAGCTATTAAAGTGGTCAGCGCTGTGATACGTAGAAAGACGGATATTTATTTACATGAGCTTTTCTCCCTCAATTCAACATCGTGACTGTCTGAAGACGGCTGCAAAAACTGGCTCTCCGGATTAAAACCCCCCACTACACGGCTTTGTTCGAAACAGCTTTTGCTAAGAATCATTCTATGCTAACTCTCCTCCTGTGAAAACTAAGCATCAACTCTGCATTTCTTGTAGTCTCTTCCTTGCTACCTGCTAGCTAGAGCAGTGTTTCTCAACCTTTTTTTTTTATAAAGTACCCTTTTAAAAAAGTACCCCCAGTACCTACAGTTTTTAGACACAATTTTTTCTACCATTGCAACACATTTGTTTAAACAGCTTAATTGTAGCCAGGCAGGTGGTGAGATTTTTGGGTGTAAAAAGTACAAAAAGAATAAAGCGCTGTACAACTTAAAACAAAATTTCAGTTTTCTCCAAATTTCAGTTGTGTTGACGTACCCCCCAAACTTCTCTCAAGTACCCCTGTGGGGACCCCACTGGTTGAGAAACACTGAGCTAAAAGGCCTGAAAGTCTTGAGGTGTGATCTTCTGCAAAGTGACCAAGTGTTTTATCGCTTGTCACCCACTTATTCTCTGGATTGTGGCTCAGCACCTCTGGGGAGATGTGCTTGTGATAGAAATTGCTCTCAGTCAGGCCCACTGATGGGGAGGACAGAGGGGGCAGTTGCCTTGGGTCCTGGTGATTCACAAGGCCCCAGGGCTCATGGTTGATGCTGCTGCTACCACAAGAGTAGAGGTGGCAAGAGCCCTGGCCCCTTTAAGTCACTGCCGGAGCGCCATGCAGTGCGCTCCAGGCCATTCTCAGGGCTGGCTAGGGGCTGGGAGGGCCACCACAGCATATACTGAGCAGTGCTTGAGAGCTGGCTACCCAGCCACACCCCTTCTACCTGAAGCTCCGCCCCTTCTGGGAGAGGAGAGGTGGGCCACCCCACCTTGGCCAGGGGCCTGGCAAGTCTGTTGGCCCCTCTGCCTACAGTATATTGACTGGCTGGGTTCTGAGCTCTTTGCTTTCACTCAGTGCTTGGAGGTGTGTCTTTTGTGTTAACAGATGAACTTTGCCTCTGGGAATCCGGGTTCCTGGCTTCATTGCACAAGTCATTAGTTCTACAGAGCAGGCTGGCACCATATCCCATCTGGTGCCAGAAAGCTTCTCCATTGTATCTTATGAAATCTGGTTTGCTTGATAACCACAAGCTGCAGTTACCCGGATATGTAATTTAATTTGCATTGCTTCATTTTAGGTGTCACAATTCAGACTCTGCTTAAAGCCAGAACTGAATTTTTTTTTTCCTTTTTCCTTCTCCAGTAATTGCAAGCATTCGGGTGTGATGATAATTAGTGGTAACCCTCACTGCATTTTAAGGACATTTACCAGATAGAAAATCCTCCAGCTATTAATTCCAGCATTGTCCATTGCTGCCCAGTTAAAACCCATGGACCTGTGTAGAGGAGGCCGTTGGATTGCTCATTCCTTGAGTGACTGTGATGTAATTAGCTTATTGGGCTGCTAATACTTGTCTGTCTTCTAAAGTTGCACCTGCTGTAGTTGCCCGTTTGTTTGACTAACGCTGAAAGCTGCAGAATTCCTATGAATTGGTTTTGAAAAGGTTTGTTACTAAGCAGCCAACATAGAAACATTGGAAAGTGCCTCTTGTGGTTGTGGGGGACCTTTGTGGATGACCTGGGACCTGTTACCAGGGGATAGATGGTCACATTCCACCAACCCACCTAGCACTATCTGCCCCCCCCCCCCCATCTCCTCTTGGCAGTCACAGCAGGGAGGTTAAGGAGTCCATAGGCCCAGCGAGCAAGGGATGGGCTGGGGAGGGATGCCAGGGTCTTCCCTGTGCTGCTGCGTATGCTTGCTCTGTTCTGTGACTAATGGAGCTCTGGCTTCCCCAAGGCGGCCTGGGCATTGAGAAACTCGAGATCTGTTTTTACGATTGCTAAAAGCTCTTATGTGGCGCAAGGTTTTCTAAAGCCGTGTGTTTCTGCCCGGAGATGGGTGGGAACATGCTGCCTTGCACGGCAGTTCTTTTGAGGCAACATTCACTTGCCTTGGGCTGATTTCAACGTAAATGTCTGGTGATATAATTCAGTGTGTAGTTAGTGGTCTCCGATTTTCTGCTCCATTTTCAGACTTTTATCATTTCCTCAAGATAGGGAACTGGCTTCCTAGTGACTGTATTTTTCATTTGCCCCACGTACTTTTTGGAACACTGTTTGGCGGGGGTTTGCTTTGAAGCATACATCAGACTGCAAGCTCTGTCTGACTAGTCATTATAAAAAGTTCCATAGATACCTCCTATTTAGTATTTCTGTTAAGATTTTGCAAAAAGCCCTTCAACCCTGGTGGTGATTGTCAATACAGTTTGTTTACTTTAGGGAGAAATTGCCTTCTATTTGGAGTGACTTATTTGATGGGAGAGAGTAAAGGAAAATGTTCACCTTCCCTCTTAAACAGCACACCCCTTGGCTCTAGACTTGCTCAGATACAAAAGGGCCAAGGCTTATTCGCTTTGCCTTGCAGCCTTTCCAAAGCAACATGGTATATTACTTTTCTTTAATCTGCACTAATTGTGTGTGGCGCTCTCACTCTCCAGCAGCTCAGTCACGTTAAAAGGTCTGCGGCCTGGTCCTGTTTCCATGCTTTAGCTCAAGTGATGGAGATTCGTGCTTTCTAACCCATAGGTCTCAGGTTCACCGGCAATAGGTGACCCAAACAGGGGCATTGTGTCTGTAACCGCTAACAACAATCTGTTCTCAGAGCCAGGAACAGAAAGCAAGAATCGTGATGCCCACCATTCCCCCACAGGGGAATTAAAAATCAGGAGACAGACCAAAAAGCATGAATTAATCTATAACAATATCATGATTTGTGGGCCAATGTCATATTTTTGGACATTATTTTTGAACTTTGGGGTTGGCCGTACTCCACTTAAATTAAACCGTGTGGATTTCACCCATGGAAGCTCATGATCCTATATATTTTTGTTAGTCTCTAAGGTGCCACAGTACAATTTGTTGTTATTAAACTTTGACTTCATTGCAGAATATGATGGGTGGCTACGGAGGAAGATCTTATTTGAGTTTTAGCTTCAATAATGGCGGAAAATCAGAAATGCAGTCTCCTTAGGTATCCTAGCCTTAATGATGGCTTGTTATTTAACATCTTTTTTGAGCAACTGGGGAATAGATGTTCCTTTATTTTTCATCCTTGTTTGCTCTAATTGGAAAGATGGCAGACAAAACATGTTGGAAAAAGTGAGCCAGAACTGTTGCAGTAATTTAATACTAGGGTTTGGGACATCTTCCTACAAAACAACCTCTGTATAAGTTAAATGCAACAAGTGAGAGGATCTGAGTTCAGAGCAGATAATGAAGTAGAAGTGTCCCAATAGAACATCAAGTATTGGTTTTTAAAGCATGTCTTGCAACTTTGGAGCTTTGTTTTAATGTCACAACTACATAGATTTGTCTTCAGCCTCACCTGCCAGGGGAAGAAGTAGGCGTTTTGATGTTTCTCATAGCCATGAAAATCCTACATATAGGGCTGCTCCCTCCCCCTCCCCAAAAAAACCCCACACAGTTTAAAATTCAGTAAAAACAGTTGCTTCTCATTGGACCTGCATTAATTTTGGTAATACCTTTCATTCCAAAAGAACCCAGCAGGACATACAAATTATATACAAGGGTATTGTGCCCCACCTCTGAGAGGAAATGTCAGTTACACTGTGCTGAGCGTCACTTCACAACAGCTATGGCAATGAAGTAGGGAACATTATGATCCAAGGAAAACTGCCGAATATAGTTACCTGCACAGGAATCTGTCATTGTGCCTAGGTAAGCCCCGGTGAGGATGCCAGAACAAACTGTTGAGAAATATGGCAGATTCTCCTCTAAACTGGGGGTTGTTCTTCCAGAAGACACAGCAAAGGTAAACGTCTGTCTCGGCACACTGCACAGGCAATGCGTAGAGGGCGCGCGCACTTCTGTGCACCTCCCCAAGGCGGGAAGGTGCTGAGCCGAAAGTCCACGCCGCCATCCC